GGACTCGATGATCTTAGGGGTCTTTTCTAGCCTTAATGATAATGATTCTAAAACAGCATCTGAGATACCAGTATTCTCAGTAGGAAATTGTAGATCACACAAGCACTTTTGAAAAATGATGAACTATTCAGTGTGCCTGCTTCATTACATTCAGGCATGGGACCTGGCTGACAAAATCTAATTAATCAGAAAACATCATCTAGCAAAAACTTGCAACATCCTTACCTCCCATTCCTCCCCTTCTTCAGGCTTTAGTTGCAACTCATATTCAAGGGTAAGCCATCCAGATCTGACATCAGCCAGCGGGGGTGGAGACCATGTCAACACCAGATAAGGTTTTCTATTTATTGGCTTTTTTAATTCCAGAGTTACATTCACAGGAGGATCTGGCTGTACTGTTAAAATAAAAGAACTGACAATGAGAGTCTAAATGATTTTTTCCTTGCATCACCACATAAAATGGTGTGAGTGGTAAGTTGCCACCTCCATTGTATCTAGTAATTTAGAACTGGTACTGGAATACAGGGACCAAGAGTTTCCTGATAAAGTAAGCATGGATTTATGAGTTTGAAGAAGAAACTGAAGAGCAGTAAATATGTTGAGTTCATGTTGAGATTTGCCTTAATCATTTATCACCAGAATAATTTTTTCTTACATCCCTACAGCTATGTTTCAAAGTTAACATCTTTAACGCTGTGCTATGAAAGTTGTGTTTTACCATAATCTTATCAAAGTTGGCATATATATTTAGGAATGCTGAAAGCACAGATGTAGCTGATGAAACTTGCCCCCTCCCCCCATTTTTTACATTCAGAAAACACAACAGCATAATCCCTACATGCATACGGAAGGATATTTAAAAATAAAACAAACCAGTAATATTAAAGCCCTGTCTGTATCTCAAAAATAAACCAAAATGGAATGCAGGTTTCTGCTACAGTCAGTCTTGCAGCTTCCTCAGTTCAGGGGTAGAGCTTCTGCATATCGTGCGTGTATTTTACCACTGTCTGATGCAAAGCTTCATCAGTAGTCAGGGCATGGAGGTAAAATGTAAAGCCTTTTCGCCAGCAGCCCTTTTCCAGTTGCCATACTCCTGGCAGCCAGATCCTTGGTAACAAAATAGTTATCGGTGATAATGTTCCCTTCCCTTAGGAAAAAACCTAAATACTTGTTATTTCCACTTGTTGTGGAAAAAGTTTGAGAAAAGAGATTATCAATACACTGCTATAAAAAGCACTAATTCAGCTTCTCTTGGGTCTGGAAACTACTTTTAGGTAATAAAATTTAAGTATTATTAGTTAAAAGATCAATTTGATTTCAGTTGCTGGTAGAGTGGTAAAAGATTTTAACTGGATGATGTTTCTTAGGGCTTGACCGAAAGAAATATGGAAAACCAATAAATGGTTATCTGAATGCAGTTTTAAAGCTTTTAGCATTTTTAGGTTTCCTTTGAAAATAAAATGGTAAAGGGATGAATATTGATTTATTATTATGCCAGATAAAATCTCACTTGTTCTTACAATTTTTTAATTTGGATATAATACTATATATGAGAAGAGCTGGAATTAAAATTCTTGTTTCAAACCCCATAACTTTGAATTATTTGGTTTCATAGAAAATACTTTTTATCTCTTACCTATGTAAGTCACATCCACAAAATGAGGATCAGAGACATTACTTCCCATTTCATTAGTTGCCCTCACAGTAATATTGTATATGGTCCAGAAAGAGGTGTGCTTTTTATCGAAATAGCACGAATTGGGGCCCGCGGTTCTGTAATCTGGACATTCATAAACTTGTTCTTCTCTGAAATGAAAGAATCACAGTGATTAGGTTATTCATACTAAAACACCTGATTTTCATTACTAGTAGTTCAGCATTATTTAGGGCTGGATCAGATTTTTCATGCCTGGCAATGTGAAAAAAATCAGAAAACTGCTTTCAGACTAAAGAGTCATTGCACAATTCCAGAGACTGTAGTAAGAATTTCGCCCCCAAAATAAAGACTACAAAACCTGAAGAAGTTAGGCTGTTGTAGATGCAGCAGTGGGCTAGTAGAGCTTTACTTTTCTGAATGCCATTGTCCATTGCATAGCCCTTACAGGTTCCAGAGAGCCAGTAGGAGTGATTGCTGAATTCTTCTAATCCATCTATTAAAAACTGAGTATTTCCAATGTTCATTTCATACTTACATGAGTTCTGCATATTACATTAATATGCTTTCAGAATCTGTTTTTGTCTTTCATCACCTCTTCCTCAAAAAAATCTACCTTATACTTGTCCTCCAAATCCATTCCCAAGCTTCCCAAAGGGAGCAGGGATAAGGAGAGGAAGTTGAGTATGTAGTACCTGTTTCCAGGCTCCTCTGAGATGCACAGTAATGAAAGAGAAAGTTGTGGATGTGGACCTCACACTCTGCCCTGGCTGGTTGGACCAGTATCTGTCTTTTTCCGCTAAGACCTGGCTCTCAGCTGACAAGTACAGCGTTTAGTATCTAGCTAGGTCAGTGTAAGGCTGAGCAGTGCTGAGTGAATCAAAAATAGTTCACAGAACCCAAACAAAATATTGACTACTCCTTTAAAATGAATGTTTAGCACTTGATCTAAGTTCCAGGACCAAGATTACTGCAGAAGCCAGGAAGCATTCATGGCCTATGAATACTTGTGCAAAATAAGCATTATCAGAAGATGAAAATTTTAATATCTTGTCGTTTTGGAAAGCTTTATTTCTGGGGCTGCTTGGTCAAAGAGCTACAGGACTGTGCATTTGTATTGCATACTACTATGCAGTTGCTGCACCATGGCAACTTTCAAGGCAGTCTATCTTTCAAGGCAGAATAATTCACAGAAATTTGAAAAAGGGACATTATAAAGGGACCCTATTTCAATCTTAAATATGTTGCTGCTAGTGCTATTCCAGGATATGTCACTTGGACAAAACCATGTGCTATGGAAAATGACATCTCCTAAATGCAAGACCAATCAGGATTGATTTTCCAGGTCCTTCTTTCAGTAACACATTGAGTAATTATTCAGAGCTTATTACCCTTCTTTGCTGTAAAGCAAAGTGTAGTTAGTAGGATGTCCTCCATCTGAACCAGGTTTCCACCAACAGGTAAATGTTTCCTTTTCTGGAGAACGGCATTTTATTATTGTAGGCTTTTCAGGAGGTGAATCTCCTGTAAGAGATAAAGAAATGAACTAATTAGTAAGTTTAATGCATTAGGTCAACCCTGAATTAATAAAACAATGTCAAGCAGAGCACAGGAAAATACTTTTTTTTCTACAAGGAAAGAAGTAGTTTTGTTTCATATTAATATAGGAAAGAAAGGACGGTTAGGGCAGCAGCCTGCTACTTTGACCTGGATTCAAAACCCTTTCCCACTGCTGCTATGCTGAGGAACTATGTTTTAGTTCCCTGGCTGTGGCTCTTCTCTGCCCCCAAATCTGATAAGGGCTGGTCAAATACTGTCATAGCAGGCTCCATAAAATGATTTAAAATACACTCTGCTATCCAATCTATTTCCTACAAAAACCATTTTTTCTTCAAAAAATCTGTTTTAAGATGCTTTTGTTTGTTTAAAAAATCTGCTGTCATTTGTTTGGCTTTTACAGAAAAAAAATGAAGAAAGTAACTGTTTGCCCATTTGTTTATGTCCTTGCCAGTAATTCTCTTCTGAAGTACCTACGCTGAGCTGACTCCAAAGATACAAAGAAGCAGCTCTCATATTTCCTTGTAAAGTGACGTTATGCTCAGTACTCAGGCTACTTGCGTGCTTGCTGCCAAGCAATAATTTATAATTATTTGGATTCCTGATGATGTTTTTATAGACTCAAGCAAAGCACTTAGAGTAAGGCAGAGGAAAATGCTTAAATTTTGAATAGGATGATGCTGGTCAAAACCTTGATGTGATTGAAACTTTTGCAGTTATGTATTTGTGGCAAAATATGGTCCTATTACATCAATAATATATATTTTCTACTATTTAGTGTAGGACATTGATTTTCCAAATTTCTAATTGCCTAAGGCAGGTCTGAAAATGGGACATTTAAAAAATATTTTTCTATTAACAGTGCTTCAGCAATCTCCATGTCAAATAATGAATAACACAATTAGCGACAGAAGAAGAAGATTTGAGACAACCTGGCTAAAGTGTCTGACAACAAGATACGATGTCATGCATATTTAATGTGTCCACTCAAACCCAACAGAACACAGGTAATTACTTCCATGTGATAGTAGCTGCAAGTGTTATGCACGATTAGACAAAGCAGTGCTTTCAGTCCAGTTACTGACGAACAAATGAATGATTCTTACAGAAGTACCATTACCTGATATCTACAGCTACAGATGAAATCAACATGATTTTTAAATAGAGGGACAGGAACAATAAATTATTTAGGCACACCTGTATCAGAAGTGACTTCTTAGTAAATCCCAGCCTGTTTGTCATAGCCAGTTTCAGCAGAGTATCCTGAGTGGATCAACAGGACTACATACGCAATTACACACAAAGTACGGTAAGATGTAGTAAGCTGTTCCTCCAGCACTATGAAGTATCTATGTGAGGAACTGGTTTTTCAGGGCTGCCATTTAGGCACCTTTCACAACACTGAACCGGCTAGAATTTAAAAACAATTAACAGAACAGCAATCATCCACTTACCATTGGGGATCTGAATGCATCTTTTGGAGCTCCACTCACTCCATTCTCCAAGGTCTAACATGCAACGGACCTGAACAACATACTTCACCCCAGCTTGTAACCTAATCACTTTGTACTGTGTCTTCACTCCAACAGATATTATCTGGAAAAGAAAATGGACTGGAAAAATAATAAAGAATTGGAACATTTTAACAAATAAACTGTAAAGGAGTAGGCTTGTGTCACTGACTTCTGAAAGGCAAGGGTTTCAGTCGGGTATTTTGTAAGATATGAATTACAAAGAAGCAAAGGTAGTGACTTAACAGAAAAACTCACTTCAGTGACACTGAGATTCTGATACTCGAGAACATATTTAATTATAGACTTCCTATAAGTTAGTACTGCATCAGATCCACAACGCAAGGAACACTATAGGTAGTCCAACTCACAGATGAACCTTCTGTATAAAGCTCCTTAGTGGCTATTTTAGTGCTTATTATTAAGTGCCTTCCTCAGGCCCTTTGAATCTCTCTTCAGAAGTCTTTCAAGACACATAGCTTCCTCCATCATTAAGGCATCAACAATTTAGGTAGCATTGAGGCATCTGACTATGACTTCAAGAATGATATTTTGTCCTGGTATCTCAGCTGTGTGAGTACTGTGGCCCACTCCTAGCAAAATGGCAACAGCTGGGACTGTCAATGGAAATAGTGTGTGTGAGTAGGACACCCCAAGCTTTTTAAAAGGGGATTGCCCCCAACTGATCATGTTGAAGAGGAGGAGGATGATGACTCTCAGCCAATTAAATAGTAATTAGGGAGTAACGGAGAGACTTGTGAAAGCAAAAGGGTCAGCTTGAAAAGCAGTATTAAAGAAGCATGAAAATGTGTGTTAGTGAGGGGAGACTGGAAACTTCAGCAGTAGCTGAAGTTTAGTTTGATGCTATCAGAAGCTGCTCTGCTAGCATCATGACCTCTGCCTGGGACAGACAGAGCAGCCTCCCTCTCTGATGCTGTGAGTAGCTGCACTCCAGACAGCGTGGGCTGCAGCAGGAGGAACCCACACCTGGGTGTATGTGTATGACCATGTGGGTGCTTTCTCACTGATGTGCGTCTTAGTCCCTGTAAGAAGGGACGTGGGTTCACATTAAGTTAAAGCATCCATGGCCCCTGCAGAAGTGGGTGTAAACAGGGGAGTTTGTACTCCCAGGAGGTTGGGGGGTGCTTGTAACCTGCCCTTCCTGGGAGAGCGGAATTTCTGTATATAGCATATTTCTGGGACTAGTTATAGAAGTGTGTTTATAAATTTGTAGGTGTCTATTAACATTTTTAAGTGCCCAGTATTGTGATTTATCTGTTGTATTGCTGTTACTGACCTTGACTGCATAGTTAATTGGTTGCTTGTTAATTACATGTTAATGAATCAATAAACTGCTTTGAACCTGATTTAGTTTAAACTAGATGAACTGAGCAGTCTCTTACTGTGACACTTGGGAACAGACACATTGACGAAAATTAAAATTAAATATTATATCAGTGGACTAAATGGTTTTTTTAGTATATGACATTAGGATAATTATACAAATACCTTGAATTTCACCATCTCTACAAACCACTACAGTATTTTTCTTTCTTTAATCGGATTTGGTTACATTAATTTTTCTATCCTTACAGAAACTAAAATTTTTATAATACCAGTTAAATTTAGATAAGAGAACTCACTGAAAAGAGCATTTATACAATAAATATATTTTTCCATTACCTCCCACTCTTCCTTTTCCTCAGGTTTTACTCGTAGCTCGTAGTGATACACATGTGAATCAGAGCTGACATCAGCTAATGGAGGTGGAGACCATTTTGCCCAAAGGTACATTATGCTAGCAGATGTTTTTGTTTCTAGAGAGAGGTTCACAGGAGCATCTGGCTGAACTGTACAAATCAAAAGTTTGCTGTTAACGATTTAATTTTCTCTCAGAAAAGACACCTCCTGTACAATTTTGTATTTCATCACATTAATTTCAGATCATTCAGCACTTCTGTAAGGGAATAGTACAATAGCCTTTTTTTCCTTTATCCCTAATAATGTTAACTGGCTACTGATTTACCACAGTATCAGCAAATCTTAGACTTTACTCTGAATTTGTCAGCCTAAGGAAATACAAATCATAATTTCATTAGGCCACTCTTGCAAAATTAAAATGTCAGACATTTCATAGCTAAAAAGACTAAATACATTTATCATTACAATGTGTAGATAATGTGTATCCAGAAAGCAGAATGGAGTTAGGAATATGAAATATTACAAAAAGCCTGCAGAGTGCTTAGGCATTTATTTTTACCCTCCCAAGACTGCAATGCCAGCAGGCAGAAAGATGTTTACATTTGGAAAATTTAGGTAGTTTAACCTAATTTGAAAGTTTTATAATCTGCAGTGCTAGGAACCTACAAAACTACTATTGAGTCTAATTGAAATACTGGAGATAACTAGAAACTGGAGCCTATTTTTCAGTCAAAGTTAAAATGACAATAAAATATGTAGTTACTTTATTTATAAGTAAAATGCAGTTTTCACATAAATTAAAGCCGCATATTTTAGATCGTCTGTAGATACACACTCCTCCATAGCAAGTTTCCCATCATGAGGAAGGAAATCTTTCACCACTACTTGTTCTGGGATTAAAAACCACATACATCTCCAACTAGTTTTTTTTCCATTTCATTCTTCTCGTTTTACCTATGGAGGTCACATCCACATACTGAGGATCTGAGCTGTTACTTCCAATCTCATTCGTTGCCATTACAGTGATATTATATGTTGTCCAGGGATTAGTGTGGTTTTTATCGAAGTAGCAGGAATTGGGACCTGACGTTCGGTAGTCTGGACATTCATAGTTTTTTTCTTCACTGAAATAAAATGATTTAAAAAGTTAAAAGTTTAGGAAATGAAGCAAAGCAGATAATATTCTAGTGACGGCCTAGGTTCAGCAAGGAAATGGAAATGTTTAACTTAAACCTGTATATATTCCCACCTCTGGGAAACATTTTGGTGAGTGTCAAATGCTATTACCAAATAGCATAAATGCTTCATTGCTATTTTTACTGCAGTTGCTCAAGATGAACGCTTTTACCCCCTTTTTTATACATAGGAATATGTCGACAAAAGAATGGAAAAAGAAATATCCAGAGACAGCACAAGGCAAGTTTTAAAAATGTTTAAAAGCAAGTTAAAAGGCAAATTAAACACATTCACTTTGACTAAAGATGAAAATTTGCTAAATATCTTCTTTACATATTTCCCCTGGAAAGTAACTTGATAGGCCCTATGGCAGAGGAGTGTTTTATTGATTATTTTGTTTTCAGCAAGATGTTAATTTATCTGCTTTTTAACATGATCGTCATCACAACTGTCTCAATAAAAAATATTTGATTAATTCATGATCTCTTACCTATGACTTTTATACAAGTCTTCGGCTTTTTTAGGAAAGGAATTGTTTTGTACTCAATTACAGCTGAACTGGGTGATGTACTCAGAGCCTATCCGAGGTGTGAAGAACTGCACAAACCCAAAGCACCAGCTGAGATGGTTCAAGGATGCATTTTAGTCCCACTATTACGCTCTATGCACCGCTAATAACAAGGTCTCTTAGTTTCTAGGCAGTTTTGTCCCGGTTCACAAAGAAAAGATGGGAGTAAGGGGACTGTACCTGAGAGACAATGAGCTAAGAAAGGCAACCATGGCCCAGATCTGGAGTGCTTGGCAGTGCCTGGTGTTCAGCAGATTTAATGAAAAGGAGAAGCACTCCTATCCATCCCTAAGCAGGACTGTTCTGGGATGTGATAGGTATGACTTAAAATGTTCATTAAAATTTCTGTTTTGATCGAGATTGAAATATTTGGACTTCCATAAAATAAAAGCTCTCAGATCATTGTTGAGTGTGGTAACTTCATTAAAGGGTGCATCTTTCCTGATCAATTAATACCAAATGATTTGGAGTTTATTTAATTGAAGAAGGGAAGTCTGAGGCTTTACCTTATCTATTCTGAACCTCACTGGATCTATTCAAAGAAATTTATTCTCTGAGCCTCCCTGCTTACTTGGCCCTGTTCTGAGACCACTTGTTTTCAGGAAGAAAGGGCAGTTATACAAAGAAGCACAGGTTAAGCAAAGTTGCTAAACATATACACATTTTATTCTTAAACAGGATGAGGGAATCATAGACTTTTCCAAAACAATACCCACATCTGATTTTACTCCATTTTGGGAACCATGAGGTTGGCTACAAACCCAGAAGGGGAAGCAAAGACTCTCTGTAGATTTTCTTCAGGTGGGGGTTTGCTGTGCACGGTAACAGAAAAGCTCCTCAGCAGGGCCCCGGCAGCACCGCCAGCCCTCACTGCCCCCCCCCAGCCTCCCCTGGGCCTCCCCACGCCCTCCCTGAGGCCCAGGTCCCCATTTCAGCCCAGCGCAGCAGGCCTGGTCTCCAGCTCCCCACAGCCCCACGGGCCCTGCCGAGCCAGCCCCAACCCGCAGGCTGACATCCTGGCCCAGCCTGGCCTCAGCCTGTCCCTGTCCCCAAGGAGGTGCCCGATGCCCAGGGCTGGGTTGCCCCCAGCCTGCCCTGCTCCCTGGCCGGGGCGGAGGGACGGGCCCTGGCTGGAGGCCCTGCGCCGGGGAGCCCCCACAGCCCTGTAGTGCCTTGATGCTCCCCTCCTCAGAGCAGCATCTGAAAGCTGTGTGCCTCCTGATAAGATGGACAAACTACACCTTTCCCAGCATGTCTTTAGACCAGTGGGATTTTCGGTCAGATGAGTTTCAGTAGGGACAGACTGAAGGTTTAGGACTGGTAGTATTCATGTTTTCTTCAACAAGGGAAAGCTATTCATTTCATGTAGCCCTTGTTGGCTACCTGAAGTTTAACATGGATTCACAAAAACACCTTTATAAATTAATGCTATCATTCCCTGACTCTGTGATAATCATCACTTGATCACTTACAGAATACATATGCACCGCTTGTTACCTGTCCTTGCTGTAGAACAGGGTGTAATTGGTAGGAAGTCCTCCATCTGAGCCAGGCTTCCACCAACAAGAAAAGGTTTCCTTTTCTAGAGAACGACATCTTATTATCTTAGGTTTTCCAGGGTATGATTGACCTAGGGAAGTGCAGAAATCCAGCTAGTTATATTAGAGTTGGACAGTGTTTTTTGTTGTTATTGTTGAATGATAAATTCAGCACGGAATGCTTTTTTGAGCACAATAAAATTATATGAAACTATGGACTGAATTTGGCAAATAAATCTGCCTGGAAAAAGGGTCAAAACTTTCGGAAAAGTAAATATATTTTACCTCAAACTTCTAAAAGAGCTACTAAAATTATTTTACTTCTCTTTTTCAAATGAAAATTTCATTTTTACCTACACTTAAATGTGTACAGTTATCTCCAAATTAAATTAAAAAGCTTGGAAGTAAATGTATGACCTTTTTTTTTTTACTAAAATAGCCAAAACTTTTATCTTCAGGTCATCTTAAAATTAAATTTCATCTTCAACTTTGCAACAGAACCAAAATTCCACTACTTGCACATATTTGGGGTAAATTAAAGGTAAGACAAGTAATAAAAAAAAGGAATCAATGGGCTGGATGGAGTATTTTGTGTTTTGGCAACCTGAATGTATTCATTAATTATTTGAATATTCCCTAATAATCCCCGTACATTTAAGAATATTTCCTGTTAAGACTAATTCCCCAACATTGGACACTTTTAAGATTCAGCTGGACAGGGTGCTGGGCCATCTTGTCTAGATTGTGCTTTTGCCAAGAAAGGTTGGACCAGATAATCCTTGAGGTCCCTTCCAACCTGGTATTCTATGATTCTATGATACTTGTCATTAACTTCTACCAAGAACATAGACCATAAATTTACATACATTTTGACATGAAAAGCATGTGGCTTTTCAACCTAAGCTTACCTTTATTTCATTAAAGTTCCATACCGTTATCTCTAATAGTGTTACTATTCATATGATGCTAATTCCCAGGAAGGTGACAAGCATGGAGTGAGTGTAGGGATGGAGTGAGTGCCTTTCATCATCACCACCACATAATCATTAAATTAATACTACAAAAAGAAAAGAGGACTCAAGCCATTTTCAAAATCTCCATTTAAAACTTTAGAAGAAAGTAATTTAAATATGTATAAATATGTGTAGGCTCCAGTGGTGGTCAGGATAGATTGGGTAAAGCCTCAGACTTTTCTAAAGAAGGGGTTTTAAGGAAAAACAAGTGTTTCAGGAAGTGTTGTACTTACCAGTCAGATCCACTGCAGTCAGAGCAAGTAGCAAAATAATTTGAACTAGTGATGTCAATTTCTGCTTCATGATGTCTGCTTCTCCTCAGGAGGAAATATCAGATCAAGGACTCACTGAAAAACAGGCCATCATGCAATAGTCAATGCTTAACATGTAATATGTATCACTTGGCTTGATCAAAGTCCTTTTTGAATTGCAGCTAATTGATTCTTTTTATTTCTCAGAAAGGTGTGGCAACACCTGCAGTTCCACTTCAGAAGTAGAAAACCTGAGTCACAGAGTAGTAAGTACATCTTCCTGAAGGTCTTTGAATGGTTAGCAGTGCTAGGATTACAATTCCATAGCATTAACAAGTCTTGCATATTTATTTGGCATCTGTCCCGGTTTTGGCTAGGATAGAGTTAATTTTTTGCCTAATAACTGGTATAGTACGGTGTTTTGGATTTAGGATGAGAATAATGTTGATAACACACTGATGTTTTAGTTGTTCCTGAGCAATGCGTACACTAAGTCAAGGATTTTTCAGCTTCTCACACTGCCCTGCCAGTGAAGGCTGAAGGTGCACAAGGAGATGGGAGGGGAAACAGCCAGGACAGCTGACCCAAACTGGCCAAAGAGATATTCCATACCATATGATGTCATGCTGAACAAAAAAAACTGGGGGGAGTTGGCTGGGACGGTGCAGCTGCAGCTCGGGAACTGGCTGGGTATTGGTCAGTGGGTGGTGAGCAATTGCATTGTACATCACTTTTGTATATATTCTTTTATCATTATTATTATTATTTTCTTCCTTTTCTGTCGTATTAATTTGTCTTTATCTCAACCCACGAGTTTTACCTTTTTTACGATTCTCTCCCCCCTCCCACCATCGGGGAGTGAGCAAGCGGCTGTGTGGTGCTTAGTTACTGGCTGGGGTTAAACCACAACAGCATCTTGGGATACTGGGTGCTTTTCTTAAAGCTCCAACTTTTAGACTCATTAAGTTACCTAAGAAATCAGCCTTTCACTAACAAAAAATACATTTTCATCCCTGTTGATACAAAGAAGAGCTCAACATATTTGAACCCTGAAAGTCCTGAAAACAGAAGGCAAATACAAAAAATCCGAAATTTATTTAGAAATTTATGATTTTTGAGCCAATGTCATGACTTATGAATATTGGGACTGTCAGTGTTGAATTCAAGATCACCTGAGCTGAAGAATGCTACTCTTTCTGTGCGTTCAACTCATTGTTTTTACTGTGTTTGATTTTGCAGTAAACTGGAAATGCCAAGATCAGAGAAAAAAAAAAACAAGGAAAAAGTAGCGTAGTTACAGTTAATTTATCAGGTGAAAGTGCAAGATGGGATGCAATTAACCCTCTTTCTTCAACCTGTAAAGGCCAAAGGCAGTGTTGCAGAACTCGGCTGAAATAGAGGCGCAAGTGGGAAGCCACCGGCTGTGAAGATGCAGTCGCTGCAGTGGGCTGACACCACTAGATGTCCTCATAATTCAGGTTACAGCTCAGGGTGATCAGGAGTCGCTGTTGCTGCTAAATCTGTTTGCTTTAGCCTGAAGAAAAGACAGAATAACTGCATGCAAAACTCCTCCCACCGATATGCTTCCTGCTTGGAGATGGTGACTGGAGTCGGCTATTAGATTCTCGGTAGCCAAGTTCACTCTTTGAAACTAAAGAAGAACAATGTACTATCTAAATAGGAAACTCCTTACCTCAGCTTTCCACTCCTACCAAGCACATCTGACAGGTATTTGTATGCTTGGAACCCATTCAGTGTAGCACAGCATGGGAACAAGCTGTCTCTTTGCTGAGGAAAAATTCTTTATGGTTTATCAGATGATTCAATTTTCATTACGCAATTCATTTTCTGTATCAAGAAACTATAATCTGTCAGCATATATTTCTCAAGCGCAAAGGCAAATGAAGTATCAGTTAATTTAACTGAGTCTAAAACATGTTTACTGTGGACAATGTGGTGAAGAACAACAGTTGGCTACATTTCCATATACCACTTCTGAATATCCAGGCACGTTTCACACATGTAACTGAGCTACAGGCTGCAGAATCACATCTGGGTTAGTTTTAAACTCACTTACAGCAATCTGTGCATATACAGTCAGTGGAGAGCAAACCATTTAAATATAAATTCCAGTTTTGTGTAAGCACATGCAAATTTTATGACTGTAAACAAACGGCAGGCACAAACATTAGTGTTTAATTTCAGAAATGAGCTGAAAACTTGATGTTATATAATGTGGAGCAGAGACCATTGAGCTCATGCAAGAACAAGGCACATTCTTCTCAAGTGAAGGTGAAAGAATGAATTATAAACAGTAACTATTTCATGTACATATGATACCAATTACAATATTTTATTATTTCTAAAAATAGGTGGAACATTTGCAAAATACAGCACTTTCAAACTGAGACTCATGCTGTGCTTCCTTATGGGGCACTGCTATCATGATTTTTTTTTTTTTACTTTACAGATGTATCTTTTCTGTGTGAAGAATTGACAGATAAGAGAAACTGATTACAGTGAGTAAAAGAATTAAATTTGTCAATACGACAAAAGAGAGAGGCATCATCAAGAAAGAGCTGTATTAGAGCACTCTGCAAGGAAAATGAGATCATTTTGGAAACTGAAGACCTAAAGAACCAAATTAATAGAAATATGATGAAATTAATGCATTTAAAAACAAGTACTTTTCCTTGGGAGCATTGTTTTTTTAAAAATGAGATGATCGTGAACCACTTCTGTAATGTGGCTGTGAAAAAGAACAGGAGAGATACAGGGGAGGAATATGGACCTATTAGTGCCACAGACTAAACTCTATGTACAATTCTGGTCACCTATACTTGGGAAAAAAAAATCAGGTTAACCTGTTTAGAACAGATTTAGAACAGAGCTGCGAAGATGAGCAGGGGACACACAGACTGTCTCATGATGGCAATTTAAAGAATTGGCTTTTTACTCCATGCGAGGATGCTTGTCTTCTATAAACATAGCAGGAGATTAGCATCAAAAGGGGGAAAATAAGAACGTATAAACTCTAGCAAATATTGGAACAAGAATAGATGGCCATAACTAGCTCCAAAAATTAGTGAAAGATGTTACCATCACAGCAGTGAGTTTCTAGAATAGTCTTCCAAACGCAAAAATGCCATTTAGTTTTCCCAGGTAGTCTGATCTATTATGAAATATATATGATATGGTTGTTTGTGATAGCTGAGGACTGGACTTTGTGACCCAATATATGCTTTCCAGGCCAGTGTTTCAATTCAAGTTAAATACCTTGAATTATTAACAGTTAGAAAACTGTGCAGAAGTATGAGATGGCTGGATGTCCTATTTTACATTCAGGATTTAATGCTTTCAAAGTATTTTCTATTAAAGAATTATCAGAACCTCTGTTTATTTGAAGATCATGCTTAAAAGCATCTTAGAAAAGCTTCATTCTGATATTTGTATTGCTTTCTGAAGGAATGTAAGCAGTAGCAGAGCAGTGGCCAGGAGGCTGCAGGCACATTAACCATATTCCATTTGTCCCAGTGCTTATGTTTCCATGGTTGCCTGGTATTTGGTATTTGTGGTTCAAATGTTGTTTATAAGGCTTCTGGAGAGATGTCTTGTTTTTTAAAAATACTTACTTTAATAGAAAAAATAATGCCCACTTTGTCATAACTATATCAAAAGTGTGTCTCCCCTATCTATGACTGGAAAATGTTTTCATAGAAGGGTAACTAGCATTAATGAAGATGCTATGAGGGAATGCCTCACTTTTAGGACTAAATGCATTCTTTTATAAGGGACACGGTGGACATTGCTTTGCCAGAAATGTCATGCAAATCCGAGGGTTGAGTAACTTACAATTAAAAGATCATATGCCTACTTTTTGAAAGTTTTGATTTAATTCCAACAAAGTTCTTATATTCTGACATTATAGTTGAATTTCTCCCTTTTAACACAGCTGTTAAATAGTATTCAACAGCTGCACATTGCACCCAGAAAACAGTGCGCCTTGTCGGAAATAGAAATGATTACTGGGGTTTTAGAATGCACAGAAGTGCTAGATATTCCTGTAAAATAACCCTAATCTGCAATTAATAATATTATGAAATTGTAGGTTTGAAAACTGTGCTTACAATGCTACTAGATGAAGCTAGTTAAATACCAAATAAATCAGGTGTGGAGCAGGGTTGAGAGAAAAAGGTCCTTGTCCTAATTGAGTTCTAGTCCTTACATTCTTTTCTCTCTCTTTCTTGGCTATGCTGATGGATAAATTTCTTGAGAATGACAGAGAAGTCTTTACTCAGTTCTGCACCGATGGAAAAATTTTCTATCTGCAATGTTTTCAGGCTTGCAGGAAGGGGAACAACTGTATAGCACCCACTGGGAATGACATTATGTCCATCACAAGCTTTGCTTGTGCTGCTAAAGAAATCTAAAGCTGAAAGTACTTTACCAATCTGTGCACATTCCCACTAATTATGATGATGATCGCCTTCCAGGCCTGGGGGAAGGCAGTTTAAGGAGTCTCAAAACACCGCAGTTCATTACCATTTGAAAGGCTGAACTACAGCTGTATGAAACCAAGTACAAATAAAGAACAGAATAAAGCAAAAATGTGACAGTCTGTTAGACCATCCAGAATCCTGCTGGCCATACATTCAACTATACCGTGGACATTGCAACAGTCTGCCTTCCCATGCCGAGTTCTCAAATGCCACACTGATATATGTCCCTAGCCAAGTCTTGGGCATCGCTATCACTAGATGTGTTTCTGAATTACAGTGATGGCTGGGATTATACTGCAAATTAAAAGCTGTGGATGTGCAGTGCTCTGCTTTCCCTCTCTGAACGAGCTCTAACTGGAAGTATCCAAATTCTGAATCCCTCAGGCACCCAGTACAGGCTTTATGGAGATGTATAGGCTCCAGAGAAGATAGGGAGTTCAGGCATATCTCTGATCAGAATTTCTCGTGATTGATTCCAGGTGGCTACTTTTAGCACGTAGGTTTTGTGGAGTGCTTTGTGAGGATGCTTGGTTCCTGCTGTTGGCTATGTAAGGGAACCTATGCATCCAGTTTATTTCTTGGGACCAAACACTTCATATTTCTGTTGCATAAACTGGAAGGACCTACAAGTTCTTTTAAATTTCACCTGAAAAGCCTATATAAGGGTTTCTAATATATTTTTCCTAAATTTCTCTCTTAAACAAACCTTCTCCTAACAACCCTTTGTAGTCCTTCCTTTGATTAGCAGTCAACATGTGGTGATGAATGGAACAACTTCTCTCACCCATGGAGATGTGCTCCTGAGTCTGAAAGACTTAAGTCATTTTTGAAAAACAAAAATCATGAAACTCCAGATTCTTGAAAGTAGATACTTACTTCTCCATCAAAGTATTTATGCACTTAACTCCTATTGATTTTACAAAACTGAGCCTGAAACTCTTTTTAAAACTCTCAACAACTGAACTGACAAGAAAAGCCAAGACAACAAGAAGAAAGCACCCTTATCCCTACTTTATAGATGGGGAACCAAGACAGAGAACGATTAAGTACTTTGCTCAGACTCATACTAGAAATGTAACAAAAGCCAAAAACTGATCCTTTCCTACTAGTTTTTTTTTTTTTCTTTTCCAAATGCCATCTCTACTCTCTTTGTTTTCCCTATAAAACATGATTTAGCTAACAATAACAATCTTCCTCCACCAGTATCACAGCTCCTGAATATTCTATTTTCTTCCCTGGTGATCTGTACGTTTAGCCATAATTTCAGGGTTATTATTTTTACAGCAGGCTTTTACAGACAAGAAAAGCATAAGCTGTAAAGAGTAAAATTTTAGTGTTTGAAGTTAGAATTTACATTAGAACTTGAAAATTGCTCAAGAAATGTGATGGAAGTTCATCTCTACCAACTACCAAGCTCAACTCCACAGTCATTATCTGCTATAATAATTTTAAATACTATTTTTATATAGCATAATCATGAAATATGAAGTCCAGTTTCCTACCTAAAGGATTCATGTGTGCGAGGAAGATTTTTGTTCCTCTCATGAATGTCAGATCACTTGATAATCTGCAAGAGAAAAAAATTCCAGGATTAGTATATTGCTGGAAGTATCACTGCTTTATTCCTAAAACAAAAAGAGCAAAAAAAATCAGTCTTTGTATTAGCTGATTCAGACAAATACACTCAATAAAAAGTCAATACATTTAAATATTGAAAGCAATAGCGACTATGGTAAAATAAGTGTTACTGTACAGTCTTTCCTTTATCTGTTTCAATGAAAGCACAAAATTTTGAGGCAACTTAGGATGCAGTTTAGATTTACCAGTAGACTGTGCTAGGCTATGCAATTAAAGGCTAATCACCATCTACACAAAGGCTGGGACAGGATCAGATGAAAATTGATGGGGTCAGGGTAGGAACCCTAGCAGACTAATCAGTGAAAATGGGTGGAGGGAATTGGCTGTGCCTAAGACTGCCAAAGCACGGTCAGACCATGTCCCTTGTGTGGAACCCACCAGGAGGAGCCAACCAAACAAATCCCCTTCCCCATATGCCTCACAGACTGGAGGAGGTATAGCACTCGTTAGGGGATGCAGCTGGGAAAGAATTTGGCGAGGAAAGGAAGGGATCAAAGTGGACTGGGGAGAAACAAGCATGGGAAAATAAGGTGAAAAGGGGAATAAATGTATCAGTTAAGTGTAAACTGGTGGCTTGTCTGACTGAGATGTGTTCCTGATCATCGTAGTCTACCCTATACTCTCATTAATTCCTATTTCTAACTATCTTCTGTCTGGGTGTGCTCTGTTCTGAGTGGGTACATTTGGATGCTAGTGAACTTTCAGTTGGATTAGCCAGTGAGGAGTGGGATTGCAAACCTCTGGGCTCATACACAACTGCCCAGCAACTGGGGAGACCAGAGGGTCTGGGGCCAGCTACTGGGTCGACTGAGCGTCTAAGACCAGCTACTAAAGCGATCCATTTTTTTTGAGCAAATACACACATATATGTGTAAATGTATATGTAACGTCTTTGTTGATGTGTGTGGCCTATATGTGTGTTTATTGTGTCTGTGTGTCCACCCATCGGGAGCAGCTGCTCAGCTTCGCTACCGGCAGAACCTGAGAATATGGACCTACAGCAGCTTCACATCTATCGGGCTGCCTGATTCAGCTGCCTCTAACAAACTGAAATTAAATGTTTTACCAAAAAAAGCCACTATGTTTACCTAACTGTTCTTGTCATCCCATCTGAATACACTATACTGTGAAGAAATAATTTAGATGAGCTTCAATGGGCAACTTATTTGCCAGAGCAAGAAAAACTATTTATACATTAAATTACTAGCTCTGAAATGACTAACTTCATCATACTATTTCTTACAAAATCTTCTCTTTCTAAACAATTTGAAACAAAATAGAATATTTTTTACAACTAACATTAAGAATGGTCTGTATTGCCTGGAGACCAGGTGGGAAGCTGTATTACTCAGTTACGAGGGTATTCTTTTGTTTGGCTCCATTTCAGTAAAGCTGATGAGAACAATAAAAATACCATGAAATTATTTGGCAGCTAGACATCATGCCATTACAGAGGATCAGATTTAATTGAGGGCGATAAACAGTTTCTTTTTTCTGTGCATATATGAAATGGCATAGCTAACATACAACTGAATATGGCAGAAATAATGTTTGCAGTGAAGCAACTCAACCATGACATAAGGTGAAATGTAGTTTAAAGATGGAGCTTAGTAAATGCTTTTAGAGAGGACAGAAATCTAGTTGTCAGTGTGCATGCTGGGAACATAGTCTGACTCAAGACTGGCTAAACAGAAGAATTCTCCAAAAATACAATCTGCCTAGATCACTTCACAGAGACATTTCAAAAATTATGCAGTTGTTCCACATTTAAAAAGAAGTCTAGTTCTAAGAGAAAATGTATGGTTCTGATCACTAAGTGAAAATAAAGTTTCCTCTACTTTTTCTGATTTCTACTACTTGGTACTACATCAAAACATACAGTTCTATCCTACCAGCAAGTTTTATTCTGCTTTCATGACTACTTTCATCAGGAAGTGATATCATGAACAGGTGACGCATCCCTACATAACATGACTGACATAAAACGTGTTTTTTACCAAAGCTAACATAGTGCCATAAGCACTGGCTTGTTCATATCAGTGATTGGAAAGGACCATGATAGAATTGACCTTAACTCCTGCATTAACCAGGACAATGACTCTCACCCAAGTATTTCTACATCAAATAATCATTATTCAAATCATATTTATTATGATAGTCCTGAGAACAAAGATAGAATCCCATTGTGTTATGTACTGTACAAAGAAGAGTTCCTGCTCTTAAGAACTGAAAATATAGATAACTAATTAATAATACAGAATGGAACAAAAGAATATAACAAGCAGGTCAAAACTTGAGTATTTTTCATTTGAAACTGAAGATTATTTTCATCACAAAATATTTTCAAAATATCCCTGGATTCCAATAAACTGGAAGCTGCCTATGAAGAATCAGTTTTAGAAAATTCATTTCAGAATATAATTTCAGAATGTCACAAATTCTTTTTCAACCAAAGCCAATGCACGCAAATTTTAAAAATTCAAAAATGAACAAATATCACCAAATATCAACATAAAGCATTTTGTTTTGAAATTTTCCAGTAAAACAATTTCTGAAATCTAAGCAAATAATTGCAGTGTGGGTTTTTTTTTTTTTTTTCCCCCCCAATGAAAACATGTTGTGATGAAAAATTTCTGATAATCTTTAATTATACACAGAATTTCAATGAGCAATGCAATGGCACAAAATGTCTTGCTATTTTGACATTTCAGGGGGAAGATGCTGGTGTAGAGGTGGGGAAGTTTATTGCGGAGAGACTAAAATGACTAAAACCTTACAGAAAGCAAAGGAACAGGACTTTGAAAGTAGTAAAGGGACCACAGTTAACAGAGAAAAGTGTGAAAGGTTTATGGAGTGAATCTGAGGGAAGGAAACAATGAGGAAGGACACAGAAGGGGGAAGAACAAATAATCTGTTGGCACTGGGCAGTAAAGGTTCAGCTAAAGTTGTAATTTTGAATGTATTCCAACATGCCCTTTGAGTTTCAAAACTCCATCCACTGGATGCCATCCCCAAATAGCCTTTTCTTGGTGAACACAGGCAACAGGGTTGGGTGGAGGAGAAGCATCTTCTGGATCCTAGTGCCTGCAAGCACCAGTAGGGTAATGCTGAAGAAAGCTGTGCCCTTAGCTCTAGCACAGTTTCTTTGTTCCCTCTCACTGAGACAGTGCATTTTGGCTGAGTCTGTGTCTGGAGTCTCTCTCCAAAGCTTTATGACTGTGATAGGACTGTAACAGGAAGAACCTGGCTGCAGGGGAATAAATGCTCTTTTCAATTGCAAATATGCTCAGTAATTAACAGTATCAGTGGGAGCAGAGAAAACTATTGGACAAATAATTGTTTTCTGTTTCAGTGTTCTCTTTTTCAGGAGGTCCTCAGTATGAGGTCGTAAAAGGAGCTGTTTCTTTGTCTTTTTCTGAGTACATGTTGTACATTTACACTTGAATTGCTTAAGTGCTTAAAAGAACACAATTACCAAAAATTACTACTCCAATCAAACTGCTATAAACTCTCAATGGCCTATTAATTGTGAACATGAACATTTCTCAACATATTCCCTGAGCTTCAAACTTGTTGATAAAAGAGCTTTGTGGTTGCATGCTAAAGGCTACCACTAATGCCATATACAGATCAAGTGTCACACTGGTTAGCTAAAGGAATTAAACAATGTTATCCTGGTAATCTAAAACTGAGCGAAAAATCTTTTCTTACACTTATTTAAGAGAAACTGCTGACAATAAAGGGAATAAAACAATATTTAACCTTCAACCTTCACTTTCCTGAGCTTAAAATAATTAATCTTTTGGCACTTCTAACTAAAGCATTATACTCCCTTTAATACAGAAATATGTGGATATGCAGGGAAGTATCTTTTCCATGCCTAGCTCTAATCTTGGTGGCATTTTGTAGATCTCCTCTGGTACATAATTCTTGAGTAGACTAGTGTTTAACACATTTTAGAAACAGATTATTTTCTACAGGTGTTTACATAGGTGGCATTAATCTCTAATGTCGGTAAAAACCACACAGCTTCCTTATGGAGAAAGTCAAATGTTCAAACTACTCTGAACTTTCTATATGCCAAATCAGTAACAGTATCAATACTGATGTATCACAACCCTGTTAAGTTCCACATATATGCTCATCTTCCAGCAAAAATATCTGTGTTTATTTACAGTTTTGCAGTGGAAGAATACTGAAGTTCCTAAAAGCTGCAATATGTATTCTGAAGGAACTGAATTCACCCTTTGATCAGGAGTATGAATTTCCCTCCTAATTTCTTCACGATTAATATATAAACTGAATGAAGTATAGCACTGACCTGATCTACCCCCCATCTTCACCCCAGGCTGCTATTCCTTGGAGATTCTCAGTCATGGTGAATTGTGTTTTGGATTTTTCGTTTGTTTTGCAGCATAAGGAAATGACCCTGAGGTTGCAGACTGTGAGACTTTTATGTACTTGTTTACAGAATAAAGACTTACACTGCAATCTCTGGAGGTTAAAGGTAAATTTATTAATGTATTCATTCATTAACCCATTCATTCATTAACTCACTTGCTCTGTTCCTTAGAAACTGCAAGGACAGTATTGTGTCTCCTACTGATGAATGAGTTTCTAACAGGTAATATTTGCATCTCTGACACAGTAAATAAAACGTGTCAAGAAACTACTTGAAGAAATTCATTTTGCAAAGAGAGAGAAATCTTCATTGTGCAGCAAGGCAAACAAATGGCTTCACGAATAAAGATTAACTAAATAGGGGATATTAGGTTTCAGACTATGGGTAGTGTTTAGTTTTAACAAACTAAGGACATAAGAATGCCTCTCCCTTACCTCTGCTGTAACACCAAATATGTCCAATTAAATTTAACACGAATGTTTCAGTTCGCCCTACTCCTCTGTGGAGTTTGCACAGTTCTTGGTTAAATA